CCCCCGCCGCCCTTACCTCTACTCTCGTCCCCATCGGTGGTACCATTAATTAAGTAATTAAACCGCTGTCGCTCCGCCTCCAGCATCGAGATTGACATGAGATTCCGTACGAAACAGATCGGGGGAGGAGAGGGGAGCGTCTCGTTGCAATTTGTGCGACTTACCGTACCGCCGCTTCGAGTCACGTGAGCGGATCGTCCTCGCGAATTGCCCAATTAGACCTGAGCGTTGCCGAAAACGCGCGTCGCGAGGCTCGCAGGAACCCGAGTATAATTGAACGATCGATCTAAAGATATATCGTCCGGACACAGCTGTATCTTTAAAAGCTGAAGCCGCGTAGAAAATGTCTCGGGATCTAATTAGGATCCAGTCCAACTTCCCGAAATGATTATGGATTCCAGTTGGGAAAGCTACGCACGTTCCGGTTAGAAGTGTAATGCTTCAAACATACGATTTTGAGTAAGAAACATAAACAAACCCTATTTGGTCGTCCCCAACGTTTCTCCAAAGATTTTTCCGCTTCCCACTTTATACCACTATTGAATAAAATATAAGAAAACACTTTAGGCGTTTGCACTTTGTAAATAAACGTTACATGCGCGCTATTAAGGTAGTTGTATTATAGAGTGTCGAGTTTTTAGTAGTGTTTCAAAAGGAATCATAATAATATTTAATATAATATATAATAAATTTATATAAAAATAAATTTATAATAATATTCATCAAGCAAAATTATGTTTCTATATATTTATTTCACTACCTAAATAATAAATATTAATTTTAAACGAAGTTTAAGTAAACGTATATACACACAATATTATGAATATGAAAATATTACTTTTCTTATTAATGCTATTTTTATACATTAGTTGTTGTAATAGAGATGCACAGATAATAGAAAGAAATAGATAAGTATTTAAATACGTGTGTGTGTGTGTGTGTGTGTGTGTGTGTATTTCAAGTATTACTAAAAGTCATGAAATTTATACTGTCGTATTTTCAAAACAAAATAGTCAATAGTTCTAAAATTTTTGTATAAATGTCGCTGTAAATTCTTAATATCACAGTAGTTTTTCATTAAAATGCTAAATGTGGTTTAGAAGAAATGAAAAATAGCAATTAAAAATGGGACATTAACCTCAAGGAATATGTGCAAAAAGTGTCATCTTTAGTTGCGAATAACTCATCTTACAAATGGTTAATTAATTTATAATTCGGCCAATAATTAGGTCATATTTAAATATATATATGCAAGTTTCAACAAATTCTTCAAAACTTATTTTCTATGATACAGCTACATTAAACATAATAATATTAGAAATATAACTGAAATATACCTGTTTATTAACTTCGTAATTCCTCTGTGATATTCAAACTGTCACTCGACACTAGCAACGAAGCAAACCGCAGCGCACAGCTCGATTAGCATCGAGGAAAAGAGGCTTAATCCTACGTTAAACGAAAACGGGAATTCCCCCGGATAGATATCGTAATAGGAAATAGGAAAAAACCTATTATGGGTCAATTTTGGATTTTCTAATCGGAATCCACGCTGTATAAGGAAAATCTTGGTAAATTTCTACGCGGAAAGTGAATTAAGACGCAGTCTTGGAGACGAAGCGTTACGCGCTCGCATTGCGCAAAGTAATGACTAATGCAACTGACCGAAAGTAAGAGGCGAACCTTGCCCGAGGCTGTGCTCGACTTGTTCGACAGAACGTTTTCCGCGTTCGTTGAATTGTTCTCTTCGGACGTGTGAACGCGTCGGATCAACGATTTCGTGTGCAATTACCAATTTGACGTAAGAACCGCGCAGAATTAATGGTTATGGACGAAATCGCGGGAGGAAAACGGTGCTACGCGGAAATTACCGCTCAGTGTCGCTTTGGCCTCGCGCTTCCCAGTTCACGTTTTCAAATGGCAAGTGTCGTGATGCCCGGCGTCTGCGGGAAGCACCTGTGTGACACATCCGTATAATTCCATTCGAATCGGTTGGAAATCACGCGGCCTTAATGACGTCAGCAACGACGGTTGACGAGGAAGAAGAAGCGAGCGGAATACGAGAAGTTAGTTACTAGAGAGAAGTAACTTTCCCTTGATATAATTCACTCTCAAGCGGCAGTATACCGCGAACAGGTGTTAGCCGCAACCATATCTCATAATTCTGAATTGCTCGATCATTATTCCGCTCGCGTGGTTTCAGTAGCCACATTAACGAAAAAGGAGTTATCGCGTATCTTCGTCTTACGAAAATGCTCGCCTTCTCGTGTGCAAAATTCCACACAGCGAATTATCGTTTTCGTCAACGTGTCATGTTTTTAATACGTTCGCTGCCGGATGGGTCACATGCGCCCCACGACAGTTTTACTTATAATATATGCATTATAATATTTTCAAGATCGCAGAAATCATAAGTAAGAAAAATATATGATTTCCAAGATGCGCCACAGAATAAATATAGTAGTGCATAGAAAACAAGATTTCTTTGAATTTAGTATACGTGTTTGACACGTTGACTTTGTTTAATATAAATAACATAATTTAATGTCAAATATCATTTTATTTGAGAGAAAATGTCGTTGTTTCATTCGAGTAAACCATGTTGTATTTGGTAGTAAAAATAATATTTTATTTAAAAGAAATATAATATTTGGCTTTCAATGAAAAAATTTACTTCGTTGTATATTAAATATTTTTCCACTGAAACAAAGAAATTTTTAAATATTTTTCTAACATAGTATTTTGTTTTTTTTTTTAATAATTTATTACCTCTGACAACAATTGTAATATTTGAATTAAAATTCAAAGGAAATATATTATTTGACGCAAAAATATTTATTGTTTGCTCCATTCCAAAGGATAAATTTCTTTCAATTAAAGAAATTTTATTTAAATTGAAGAAATATTTTTCTCTGTGTATTAAAATATTTTTGTGTATTTATATAATTTATGCCAAAGGAAAAAAAATCTTTTATTTTTGATATTATTAATATTCAATATTAAAATACTGTTTTTTTAAATTACTGGAACACATTTTCGAATAAAACATTTACTTATTATATAATTATATAGCGGCATGTTGCGATGTATTCTGCTGAAACATAAATGCGATTTGTCTTCACAATCATTATGGCATATAATTACTTTCACGATAGAAATTTTTACTGATATTATATCAAACTTTTCAGCATTATTCTTACAGCAAGCTTTGCAAAGTTGATTTATAAAATTGAATTAAAAAAAAAATATCTAACAAAGTAATCATTACGCTGCGTGTGGGTTTGCGCTTCACTACGTGATAACTGCGTGGTATTTCGACATCAGCACACGATCGTGCGATATATAATTTTTATTAATTCCATTTAAATAACGAAGAAAAAAGAAATACGAAACAGCCTAAACGGAAAGTTAAACGTGGGGCGTGTACGAGGAGCAGCGCACATGTTAATAAAGTGAGACGTTCGAGGGTGGAATTATTTGGGCCACCGTTTGCATCGACATACTGGGAAAATACGATCGCGAGGTCGGAGTCCAGACACGCGTACGCGCTCTCTCGCCTTCTTATTCGCCGCAGAAGTCGGGGAATCCACTCGATATCCCGTGTCTGCGATATCGGCGAAGTTGGCCACGGGAGACCGAGCCTACTTGGCGGATACAATAAAAAGAGAAATATCGCGGCTGCGGGAAGGAGAAAAGGCGCGAGAGGCTGCAGTGTGAGCGGCGCGCACTGCAGCCCCGCGGCTACCGCGCTGTAAAATGAGAAATGCATGAGAAAGCCGGAGGGTAAAGGACTTACCGTCGTGGGAGTCGTACAGGTAGATGATTTTCTTCCAGCCGTAGTATCGCACCGTATCGATGATAGCGCGATGGTAATCCGGTCGCATACTTATGGCGAAGTCCAGGAGACCCGAGGACGGCGTCAGGACCTGGAAATATACAATAATCCCCTGCATTCTCGCGTCTCCCTCCGCGTCGATCGTTTCTTTCAGCTCATCACGAAATTTCGAACGCGGACGATCTCATCCTCTCTCTCGTCCTATCTGCTCTGCTCACTCTTCTCTTCTTCCTCCCCCTCCCCCCCTCTCGTTGAACGCACTGGCGAAATTAATTCTACTTAGGAAAGGATGCTGCCACGAAACTTTAATTCGAGTCGGCGCAATCGAGCCCCGAGGCCGCTCATGAATTCTCTTTGAAACTTAATTTCTCGCGAGCGTGCAACTGGTGCGGGCGTGTGTTGCGTGATTTACCGCCGAAATATATGCCTTTTGATACTAATTCCATTTGTCGGTTGCCTCCCGTCGAGTCGTTCTGTTTCCTGCGAAACATTTTTCCGAAATTTCGAGAAACGGAATTGACTTCCGCACGTATTGATAATTCAGGAACACCTGTTATCGATCGATCGAGAGATGACGCTCTCTCTCTCTCTCTCTCTTCCTCTTGGACGAAACTATCTGCCCGGTATTATCGAAGCAGCATGAATGCCGCTCTCACGTTTCGCGAAGAATTAATCATCGTCCAGCTGCCAATAGTCATATTCACGTATTGAATTTCCAGTGGTACCGGCAGCGTCTTCTTTCCTCCAGAGGAGGAGGAGGAGCGAGGGCAGCGATGCAGACGCGGTAACCGAGAAGGATCTCATGGAAATTGAAAAGGATTTTCTCTATATAAATGGTCGTTCCTGGCGAACCGTAATTNTGGCCCCTCGTTCCCCCCCCTCCCGCCCCTAAAAAAAAAAGGAGTAGAGAGCCGAGGCGTCGAATCAGCATTACCGCGCGATTACCATTTAAACGACATCGGCGTTCGTTACGCGTACATACACATATATACTTAAACTAGCGCGCGTGCGCTCGCGGAAATATATCGTGGGAAAAATACGCACACACAACAGTCGGAATACACACGCGAGCCCCGGCCGCGCGCGCGCGTCCTATAGAGACTAACGCGATATCAGTTTTGCGAGGTGGGTACGGCGGCGCGATAAATGCAGCAGCCCCGCAATTCGAGCCGGCGAATAAATTTTCGGCGAGGCAATTCATTCCGAAATTCAAATTGTAATATGGCCGTATGCGTGTATATCGCATAGATATTTACACACGTACGGGCGATCATATCGGCTGAATCCATCATCGTGCGTCTCCCGCCGCCGCTAATTATCAGCTGCAGCGAAACAAAACTATTGATTTCGTGCGCGGCAATTATTGTCACACGCAGTCCCCTCGCGTGTGCGTCCCCTTCCTTTCTTCGATTCTCCGCGTCGAATGGACATGTGTAGTAAGAAAATTTACTTCCACGACGAGCTGCGTCGGTCGAGCAACCGTGTGTGAGTTTGTCACCGTGAAATCACGATTGCTACTTGAAGTAACGATCGATGGACCATTGACTCGCGCGCTCGTCGGAGAGCCGGAATTCGAGCGGATTTTAAGTCGCGATGGATGTTGCAAATTTTCTCACCGAAAAGTTGTCTTGTTAATATTCCCCGTATTCTTCGTTAATGCGGGCTGAGTAAAATGAAATCTAAATTTCATCGGTAATTCAAGCGGAACCGGCAAACCGTAGTAATGCCTTCCTGATTTCCTTACGTACGTCTCGCTTCGGTGCGCCGAAGTAAAGACGCGTTTAGATGGGAGAAACAGGTTTCCGCGAATAAATTAACGTCCGAAACGCGAGGCTTCCGTTATTGCACCGGCGAAAAAAGCGGCGACTGTGACTAATCGCTTAAATGTATCGGGCGAAACAACACGAGCGAAACACGGTGGGAAGAGAACGAATCTCCTCCGAGAGTACCGGTGACTATGCGATTCCGCGAAACGCTCCGGAAGATCCGGCATTGATCCACGTGATTTGCACGAGGATATATGTTTCATTCGATGCGTGTTACGCGTAACAATTGTTATTCCGCGACGAGGAAAAAAATTGGGCCTTGAGTTTACCTTCTCGGGAAACCAGGGTGTTACGAATGGCATCTGAAAGGTGTTGCTGTAGGAGTGCAGTGTGTCGAACGAGTCTGGACTGACTGCGCCCAACATCGAAAACACGCCTCTGCTGAACTGGCTGCAGACTGTAACACGCAAAGTTGACACGGCGATTATTATCGTTGAGCAATAATAATAATGATAACCAAGAAACCGCGTCGATCGCGTCGTAGCTAGATTTGCTCCGAATAACGATGATTTATCCGCACGTTTATTCATTCGTGACCTAATTATTGGCGCAATTAGAAGAATGATCATTTGGAAGCTGAGAGATTCGCAACTGAGAAACACTTTCATATGTATTCCTTAGTGTCCTATTTTTAATTTCTTCTAAAGCGCATTTAGGATTTTAATAAAAAAAAACCACTGTGACATTAAAATTATATTAAAAACGAATGCAGAGACCAATGATATTATAAATATATTAAAAACTAATTCAGAGACGTTTATACAAAAGTTTCAGAATTATTGACCATTTTGTTTTGAAAATATACATCGTTATACATCGAAATACATATATACATGCACGTATTTAAATACTTATACACCTTTTTCTGTTAAGTGTGCATCTTTATTATTCATTAAATCCTTTATTATTCATCCTTTATTATCCATTAATTCGTAAAAATGGCGTTAAGAAAAATAAGAAATAATATTTTCGTATTTGTGTACATGCATGTTTACCTCCGTTTCGTTTCAGATTAACATTATTTAGGTAGTAAAATAAATATATAGAAATGTAATTTTGCTTGATAAATATGAAATTTATGAGTGATCCTCTCGATACACTATTGAAAATACGGCACTCCGCGATACAGCTACCTTTGAACGTGATGTCTTTTTCATGATGTATCATTCTCTCTCCCTCTTCGCAGCTCTCGTTGAATATCCTTTCTTACTTGTATCTTTTTAACTCGTTTGCATACACGCGACGCGCGCAGGGAGAATACGCTTATACATATTCACGAGAGTTCTTACTGTTAAAAATTATGAAGCGCATCTTTTTGCGAAATATTTGCAAATACTCGAGAACTCGTTTAAGCAAGACCGCGCGCGCGTTCATTCTGTCTTTTTGAAGCAGCCCCGCTGTATAATAATTCCGCGGGCCGGATATTTATGTAAAAAGACGAGCGGCCCGACGTCGAGCTGCAATGTCCGCGCGGGCAAATGTTTGCGTGTCATTGTTATTTATACGTTGTTATTATTTAGCATCAACAAATATGCGCGACTGTATGAAGATCGAGCGGCTGTCATACGATGGGTAATCTCGCCGGCCATTATGCGTGGTCCTCCACAAAGCGCAATAATACCGCAAAAGTGTCAGCTTGCGGTACAAACTGAACGCCTGCTGGATAGATCCGTTTTTATTAGCCACGCCGGAAACAAAAAGGATCGCCGATAAAAACGGCGTATGTGGCCGCGAGCCCGGCAGATCTAAATTTGATTACCGCGCTAACAAAGTCGCTTTTAATAACGCGCGACAAATAATTGAGTAAGGAGCTTCGAAAAAAGCGACAATGAATGAGAACGTAAGGTGTTTCTTCGCCGAGTCGCATCCCCCGGTATCGATAGGCGTGTCGTTTCTCCTCTTTCTCTCATCTCTGTATCAATTATTCAAATAAGATATCGCTGATAACGTAGTTACGATAAACACGTCTCTATCGCCGGGGAGAGGCGAAGTCTCGCATTATTTAGTGCACACCGGGGTCAGCGCACCGGGAGCAAATACCTTTTCGCACTCGTTCGATATTCAACGTCCGACGAATACTGAATTTTTATTGAAATCCGAGCGAGAAGGGCGATACGCAAAAAGACGCCGTGGAACAACGCACGCGCAGCATTGTCGCTGGGAAAAAGACCGAAGTCACAATACAGAATCGTATATATGTATATGGAAGCGCGAGATTGTAGGCGTGATCATTATCTCGCCGAGTATAATTCGATGATTCGGAGAGCCGTGCCGCCGTCGCTCTGTGTTTAACCGCAACGATCGATAGCGGCCGAGATAAATGGCGATGATGGACAAACGCGATAAAACGTACAGAAAAGAACGGACCGCGGAATGGGCGGGTGGAAAAAGAGAGAGAGAGAGAGAGAGAGTGACGAAGATAGGATATCGGCTGCACCGATTGCGAAGGTGAGGGAAGATTCAAACGGTTGGAAGCGATCCAACCCGGGGAAGGTAAGGCGTGCCGGGGTTAAAAGAGTGCCGGCCGAGGGAAAAGAAACCTGGAGGAAGAACTGCGCCGGGCGAGCCCTACAAGTTAATCGCGAACGAAGAAACTGACAGGACCCGCGCGCGCCGGGCATTTTTGCGCCGGTTGTCGAAATGACTGATAAACGGCGGTATTTACGACACTTAATGCGAATAACATTGTGGCCTCTCGCGCTAACCCAGCGGCGGAGGTTGCTGTTGATTTTTCAGCCGAGCGCGCGCCACTTGCCTCTCTTTCTTTCCTTCTTCCTCTCTTTCAGGTCTTTTGTGTATGTGTGTGTGGGGCTGTGTGTGTGTGTGTGTGTGTCTTTCTTGAGTCGAAAAATATTATCTTAGCATTTCGGACGTTTCCCGTGGACCTAATTTAGCATCGCAAATCGTATTCGCCGGAAATACACGACCGGTTATGGCAGTTATCAATATTCGTCCCCGGCGAGGGTTGAAGCGACGGAAGCGGGGGCAAATTCCATTGTTAACGACGAGAAATTTTTGACGTTCGAGACACCGTAAGAAATGACGTTCGCCGGGGAGGGGGGGGGGATCGCCGATAAAGTAATCGGCTATCCGAAACGGTCGGAAACGCTGTACAGCGCGTTGCTGCCGTTGTCGCGGCTTCCTTCCGATTCAAGAAAAATTGCCTCTGGAGGGACCGCGCAGCGTCGGAACGTACAAAGGAAATTGCGCGTAGCCGCGAGGGACGATGGCTTATTAACCATTTCGTTGTTATCATTACTGTACCCGCGTGTAATTTCGACGGGAATTACGCGCAGCCTACTTTATTTTAATTATTCTTTTATGCTCGCTCTCTCACACGCCCGGCGTTCGTCCGGGGTTCCTGGATGAAAAAGAACGCAGCACAGAGGAGAGGCAAAGGTGAGGTACAGGTAGAGAGAGAGAGAGAGAGAGAGAGAGCAACTGGCCGCAGTTTTTATTTTCGTTGTTCCGCGGCTAACACGTGTACGTGCGGTAGAGCAGAATTCAGAGATCCGGCGGCGCGGCGGCCGGCATTTATTGTGGCCACCCCGAGGGTGCATTTATATTCATAAGCATAATGGGGCATCGTGATATATGCGCCCGCACCTTGGTCAAGAATGTCCCTTCGCTCTTTCGTCATTATTAATTCCGTGTGCCTTTGCCGCGGTCGCGAGCGCTCACTTGCCGATGCACCCGACGATATCCGCAAAAATACGCGCGTTCTTCGACCGACCGTCGCGGCACGTCCGACTCTAATTGTGGATTGAAATCGACGACGTTGCCCGGAGGAACGTACACACGGCGAGCGGTATTCCCCTTTTCCTGGCACCTGTACAGATTCGTACTTCGCGAGACGCACCCGTTACATCGCAGCATCGATTGTATGGTCCTGTATCGCAGCCCCCCTCTCTCTCTCTCTCTCTCCGTGCGACGCTGCAATATCTCTCATGAAATTATTCAGGATGTTTCGTAAGATTTGCATAGAGCTTCAGGGGGGAGCGCATTCGCCATGAAAGTTGGAGACAATTTTTGCGCCCGTGAAAATTTAATTAAACTTCCGTTCTCTCTCGCGCCCTTTGAATTATCTGTGTTAAATGTCCCGTTACTTGAGATCCCAATTAATAATGTTGAATACCGAGGTCCATTTTCGATCCGAGTCGAAATTTCGGTTCCACGTTTATCCTATAAATTCTGTTGAATCTGAAGCACCAGTGTGTGTGTGTGTGTGTGTGGGGGGAGAATCGCGAAATATAATATTATACAAGCTGTTATATAGGCTATATTATCTTCTACTTTGATGCTAAACAGTTAATACCGTTTCCCTCGTATTGAGTCTTTCAAAAGATTCATAGAATTACTTAATATTCGATTAACTCAACATTCTACTTGTATTTAATTTTTATTCCTGATTTCAATCAACGCAATAAATTAGTTAGGTTAGTCATTTAATTGCATGTAGAACATATATGATGGGCAAGTACCAAATAATCTAATATAAAGATCGATAAGCAAATATAATTAATAGATGCATAGGACAACAAATTGTCTTCCTTCGTAATCTATTTATTATCTTTTAATTATCTCTGTCCTATTTTCCGATCCAGCAACCTACTCTTGGCTGTTCCGTCATGCTCCGATATTTCGGATACTATATAGCTCGTGGCACTGACATTTGCGTAGATTCAATTCGATCGGAAAACGCGTACTAATTAATACAAACGAGAGTCCGACTAAATATTTCAAAAACCGGCGAAACGTGTACTTGAAATGTTGTGTAACATTCGATCACGGAAAAACGCGTGACGTACGAGAGTACCGAAATAATCGGCAAGAAGAGCAACGTCATGTCCTCCCGTCAACCGTCAACAGTCGTCGCTTGCTATTGACCGAGTTATCACAACAATGAAAACTTTCCGGAGCTTTAAGTCGGTTAAACGTATTCTGCCTTTTCATGTACATTTCTCTACGCGTTTCCATTATGTCTCGAGCCGGCGAGCAATACATATCACTGAGTGCGAGTGTCGGTGCGTTAGTTATTATTCCCATCGGATCGTATTTCTTTGGTCTTGAAATATTTAATCGAATTCTCTTGTTAATATCGCGTTATCGTACACGTATATCTTTGATCGAATCATATCTATCGAAGTGACAGTGTGTAGTGACAATGCTACATCGATGTAGCCAGGATATTAGATCGAGAAGTTAGGACGAAGGATGCAGGACGTTGAAGGTAGGTAGTGACATATCAAATATTTACAGTGTATCAAATCATTTATACACATGAGGGTCCCGATTTTGACGGGTGTTTAGCCAATTTACTGATATACGATCCGTATCGAAATTTAAGCCGGTGTAGTGTTATCATTTGAAACATAATAGTTTCATGAATCTTCAATT